ATGTGCTCTTGCATTATGGCAGGATAATTCTCCCATATATTATCGCTAATATGTTTCCCTTCATAGATATTATCGACAATTGCAAACTGGTGACAGAGGAATGCAGGCAGAAGCTGCTGCAGCTGAAGAATAAATATTATCCAATTGAGATTGACCCTCAGCTGACTATAGAAGAGAAATATCCTTTTATGGTGGAGTGGTAAGTCAACCCCAACATTAGACCTAAATGGAGGTTTTGTGCACAGCTCATGTTTTTCTGTTTGTTTCCAGGTATTTTAAGTCCCACTCGTTGCTTGTGGAGCAGCGGTTAGAAAAGGATAAACTGCCAGAGGTGGTGAGGGAGTCTGATGTTGCCCTCAGGTAAATCCAGAGGATCAGAGGGAAAACGTGTGTTAGATCTGCATTTGTGTGTTTGATGCGTTCTGAATTTAAGAAACGAGGGCTAACAGACGTGTTGGTTTCGTTGCAGGGAAGGTTATGAGCAGTTCTTCGACCGCCTGCATCAGCACAACGTGCCTGTCTTCATTTTCTCCGCTGGTCTGGGAGATGTGCTGGAGGAGGTCATCAGTCAGGCAGGAGTTTACCATCCCAACATCAAGGTTGTCTCCAACTTCATGGACTTTGACGACAACGTAAGTCATCTGTAGAATACCGACCTGTCTGTTCTGCACTGAAAAAAAGTGGAAAAAAGTCATTTTTTCTGAAAATAAGTGCATTTGTTCTTGGATTGAGGAGGAAAAAGAGAAATTTTGGCAATGGAACAAGACAATTTAAGAAAAGAAAATACAATTTCATTATTTCAAGTGCATTTTATTTAAATATCTTATTTTAAGAGTAAAAATACTCATTCCATTGGCAAACTATCTCAGTTACCTTTTCAAATTAAGGGTAAATACATTTTACTTAAGAAATTTGTACTTATTTCTAGATTGTTTTTCCAGTGTGCTTTACTGGCACATTAAAACAGCACTATTAGCAGCGCACGGGTTAGCGGTTTTTGCACACTTTTGATTTTTATCTTTTGTAGAGATCTGACCTGACCTAATCAGACAGTTTTCATTTCTCCTCAATATCTGTAACCAGCTGTGTTAAAAATGATTCCCTTTTAACCTTCCTGACACACATCCTCAGTAGTAGAAGCAGAAATATAACTTTATAATTTAATGATTAGCACAATGAGCACTAATAACTATCGGACAGTGTACAGATCTTTTCCAAAACACTGGGCTTTTAAAATAAAACCAACCTTTGCACTTCTATCAATCTCCACAAAGATGGAGGTTGAAGGTCCAAATGATAAATTACAGCAACTTTGCTGTCATATGATCTTCATGGTGGCGCTAAAGTCTGCTAAAGATAACTTTTTACTTTATCATTCTGATAAAACATCTTTAAATTTGGTACAAATGTTGATTTGAAGGTAATTTGTTATTGAGTATAAAACAGATAAATTATGACATGACAAAGAAGTGAAATGTTTAGCACCTACCAAAGTCTAGCTCCCGGTTTAAGGCTGAATGAACAGCTGATATTCCTCCAAGCAAAGTGCAGTTATACCTATCATTTAGCAGGTTTTGTCCTTCTTTCAGCTTCATTTATAAAAAAAGCTCTTTATTTGGTGCGTCTACAGCTCAGAGTTTTGTTTTTCCAACCAAACTGAAAGTAATCTGCTTTCTTTCATTTAACAGGCGATTTTGCTGTGGATTTCTGAACACAAGTGTTTTTTTTTTTTTTTCTGCAGGGGGTGCTGAGAGGATTCAAAGGCGAGCTGATTCACGTGTACAACAAACACGACGGCGCCCTGAGGAGCACAGACTACTTCAAACAGCTGAGGGATTACAGCAACATCATCCTGCTGGGAGACTCCATGGGAGACCTCACCATGGCTGACGGCGTCCCCAATGTGGAGAACATGCTCAAGATCGGCTTTCTCAATGACAAGGTAAAATCATGCACCCGTCTTTAGAACCAGTTAGTGTGTTTTTGTTTTTGTTTTTTTGTTTTTTTTAATAGGCTCCCTTCCTAAATCTGCTCTATTAAAGGTGTACTCTAAGAAGCTTGACGATGGTTCATGTAATACTTCTTTCTAGGGCCAATCTGAACTCGTAATCACTGGCAAAAAGTATTTCTAGAAGAAAATACAATGAAAAATATGCTTCTAGTTTTCCTAGACCAAAGCATAGTTCCTGTGCATTCTTGAACGGTTTGTGAAAGTAAGCAT